CAAGCATTCAAAGCTGCCAAGGTAGGGCAGTGCCTGTGGCTCAGTGGGTAGGGTGCCAGCCCCATATGGTGAGGGTGGCAGGTATGAACCTGGCTCTGGCCAAACTGCAACAAAAAAAAAAACAGTGGTGTGTTGTGGCAGGCACCTGTAGTTCCAGCTACAGGGTAGGCTGAGGCAAGAGAATCGCCTAAACCTAAGAACTGGAGGCTGCTGTGAGCCATGACGCTACAGCATTCTACTGTGGGGCAACAAAGTGAGACTCTGTCTCTAAAAAAAAAAAAGAAAAGAAAAAATATGCAAATATCCTTTCCCATTTTCTAGGTTATCTATTTGCTTTGGTTGTTGTCTCCTTAGCTGTACAGAAGCTTTTCAGTTTAATTAAGCCCCATTTGTTTATTTTTGTTGTTGTTGCTCAAGTGTTTTTCCCATGCTTTCTTTGAGGATTTTTATCATTTATACCTTTTATCCATTTTAAATCAATTTTTGTGAGTGGAGAAAGGTGTAGGTCCAGTTTCAGTCTGTTACATGTAGATATCCAGTCTCCCAGCACCATGAGAATATCTTTATATGTTTTATATTTCAAAATCCTTTCAGTCAATTGAAATGTAAATATATATTCTTGTTGCATTGGAAAACTGCTACAATAATTATGAGTGTGAAAGCTGTTAATTTCATATACAAAAAAGCTAAGAACTTTCATAATATGTGTATTTACATAGGAAAATTGCCTAAGTATTAAACCAATATTAAAATAGAGTACAGTAGCTAGGTAACTTTAGAAATAATATTATACCCTTTTTGAGTCAAACAATGTTTATAAAATTTAAATAATATTACAAAGCAGGCAGGCAGGATGGCTCACACCTGTAATCCTAGCACTCTGGGAGGCTGAGGTGGGTGAATTGCTGAACTCAGGAATTCCAGATGAACCTGAGCAAGAGTTAGACCCCATCTCTACGAAAAATAGAAAAAAATTAGCTGGGTGTGGTGGCATGAGCCTGTAGGCCTAGCTACTCGGGGAACTGAGGCAAGAGGGTTGCTTGAGCCCAAGAGGTGGAAGTTGCTATAAGTTACAAGCCACCAAGATGCCATAGCACTCTAACCAGGGTGACAGAGTGAGACGCTGTCTCAAAAACAAAAAAACAAACAAACAAAAAAAAACAAAGCAAAGTACTACGGATTAAATATAAATCTAATTTTGTAGAAATGTTTGGTGCACTTAGCTCTCATAACATTAAACAAAATACTTTTAAGAACTATATTCAGTCAGCCCAGCGCAGTGGCTCACACCTGTAATTCCAGCACTGTGGGAGACTGAGGCAGGAGGATTGCTTGAGCTCAGGAGTTTGAGGTCTGTCTGAGCGAGAGTGAGACCCTGGCTTATGAAAAAAATGGAATAACCCAGCCAGGGGCTGCAGCAAGTACCTGTAATTCCAGCAGCTTCAGAGGCTGAGGGAGCAGGATGCCCATAGCCAGAGACTGAGTGAGCTATGACGCCATTGCACTCTGCTCAGGGCATAGGGTAGAACTCTGTCTTGACAAAAAAAGGAAGAAAAAAGAAAAAAACTACATTCATTCAAATATTGAGCACCTACTCTGAGGCAGGCACTGTGCTGAGTTCTAAGTACAGTGATGAACCAGAGACTTGAGTATACAGTTACTGGTTGAGACATATACTAAACCAATAAAGCAACAACGATGATGACAGTGAGTGCAAATATTTGATAGTTACATGTGTAAGTGTTGCAAAAGATTTTTTTAAAAAAGTGTTTTGCTACAGCATGGCAGTTGGAACCTAATGTAGATGCAGTGGTCTGAGAAGGTCTTTGAATAGGGTCATTTAGGCAAAGAACTGAGACATGAGAAGGAGCCAGCCATGAGAAAGGATGGTGTGGGGATGCACTCAGATCCAGTGTGCTGAGGGAGGCTGAAGCTGAGAAAGAGTGTGGGGGCACCCCAGGAGTTGCAAGATTAGTATAGTGGGGGTATTGTGAGAGGGTGAAGAGTGGCATCAGTTAGGGTTTGCAAGCAAAAAAGAGAAAAAGAAAGGACATTTGGACACCATTGGCTGATTTCAGCAGGGATGGAGGTTATTAAAAGTATTGGAGAATTGCACACAGGAGGGGTAGAGACCAGGTATGGGTTAACATTGTCTGAATGACAGTTGAATTCAAGCCTCAGACCTAGTTTACCAGGGGCAAGCTGCTGTCACTGTAGCACCAGAAAATCTAGAGCTCTTCAAAGTCCCCCGCAACTCTTAGCTCAGGTCCTGTGCCTGCACACTAACTGCCACAAAGGCTGGGAAGTAATAATTCTGGTTCAGCTTCTTTAACACAGACCAAAAGAAGGGTGACTTAAACAAGCTGCCTCTATCCTGTAATAGTCCAGCCAGGTGAGTAACTTAGAGGTAAAGGGCTTTTCCTTTCCTGTTGCATAATTACCTGGGATATTGCTTTTTCCTTCAGGAGGGAATGCAGGAGAAGGGGAAGGGAATATACGGTTTCGGCTGCCACGTGGCTATTTCCCCAGGATATGAGTTTCATATTATTTTTGTT